AACAGTATGTATTTGTACATAAAACCTACTTAGACAAGCCAAACGGTAAAAATGAAAATAATTGATTACACTTTGCGCTGCAATTCAAGCTAAACTACGTTTAAGTTGCGGTTTCTGATTGCGGCAATAAAAAGTACAAAAGTACGAAATTATAATTTTTTGATTGAAAATTTCAAAATAAGTACATATATTTATATATATTGACATACATATTTAGTAAGCGTAAAAAGTTGGACAAAATAAATGCAATAAAATGATAAAAACAATATAAATATGCTTCTAACTTCCACCGCTGTGCTCACACTTAAATCCACAAGAGCGACACGCACTCACGTTGCCAATTGTCACGAACATAACTGCATACACATCTACACACACACACACACACTTGTACATTCATTTTCATTTCATTCATTATTGACCGCTTGGCTGAGCGCAATATTTGGCTCGTCATTTGGCCCATCAACAGTGACAAATTTGTATTGACGCGAGCGTTAAACACTCTGACAGTGACAGTGATCGTGTTAAGTAAGTTATATCGATATTGTTTTCGATTTTTTTTGCGACTGTTGTTGTATTGGAACTGTCGTTCAACTGTCTATAAAACGTGTCCCAATTTAGTTTGTAATATATTTACATTAATGTTACTAAACTTCAATTTTTAATGGTACTTTCCCTCAGCTTGTAGGCCGGCCCCACACACCGCTTTTCTGTTTTCTATAGTTGGATGTAAATTAGTGGATATTCTTATTTGGAGACCTATAGACTTAGAATATTATAGTTTTACAATTAGGCTGTAGTATGAAAGTACCGAAATTTTTGTAGTTCGATTTGGTTGTCTCAACAGAAGGAAGTTCCAAGACCGACAACCCGAAAAAAAATACTTTGCGATTTTAATAATTATCAATATGCATTCTTGATCAAATTCAAATATTTATATAAATATATTATAAAATTTTTTAATTGCGTCCAAATGCCATGATTGGCAAAAAGAGTGATTAAAGTCACATTTAAAACACGCGCTTCTGACAATTTAAATGATAATCAATACAATAATGACATACATACAGACGAAAAGTAATTATTCAAATCAACAAAAATGTGCGGATATAATAAATAATAATTTGTTTAGGAAATAACAAAACATATAAGCAAATAGTATTTTAAATAAATAAATAATAATAAATATAACCTCCTAAATTAATATAAAATAAAATAAAATTAAATAAAATAAAACAAAATAAAATAAAAAACAAAATAAAATAAAATAAAATAAAATAAAATAAAATAAAATAAAATAAAATAAAATAAAATAAAATAAAATAAAATAAAATAAAATAAAATAAAATAAAATAAAATAAAATAAAATAAAATAAAATAAAATTAAGAAAATAATAATAAATAAACAAAACAAAAATAAATTAAATTAATTAAAATTGAATAAATTAAAATTAAAAAAGATTTAATAAAATAAAATAACATAAACAAATAGAATGAATTAAAAAAAAATTAATTAAAAATAATAATGTAAAACATCTTAAATGTATTGCAACTACCTGCTGCTGATTACAATTTATTACGGCACTTATTACTATGTAATCCGCTTAGTATTCTCACATAACGCCGTGCACACTACGCGTCATGCCGCCACTAAGCAATCGTCTAAAACACTGCAGCGGCAATAGCAATAGTGCGTGATTCCACTTGTCACTCTCTCGTCTGCGTCATTTGTAGCCTCTTCGCAACCTGACTACCATACCTCCGATTACTCGTATTTGCTGCAATTCACTTTTGGTTTAGCTTCGTTGCGCTAACACGCATCGTTGGCATACCTCGTATACACTGATGATGACGATGCAATATCGCTGCGGCGTAATCGCTGAGGGGGCAATGCGCGCCTCACGGTAACCCATAGCTGATTTAATACAATTTGTTAAAAGAGAATGCATATGAAATATATTTTATTTATTATTATATTCAACGCAATTTATTGCTTATCATCTCTGCATTACTGACTGCGGTAGTAAATTAAAATAAATATACTCAAATTGGGGTTTAAGAGATAAATTTAAAAAAATTATAAATAATTAGAAAAAAATACACAAAATCAAAAATAGAAAAATGTAATAATTCGAAAAATAAAAATTTTGAAAAATTGAAAATAAGCTTGTCGGCAATTTTCTTTTTTTTTTCATATTTATTGGTCATCAAAAAAATAGAATAATTATTTAAAAAAAATATTGCAAATTTTAATTTCAAAATAAGTTTAAGTTTTTCTCCATAGTAAAATGCCATAACTGAAAAAGTAAGCTTTTCAACCTTGACTCCTGCGATTCAGCATATTTATGTATGTGCGTACGAATATGCATATTATAAAAGTATCCCAGTATGAGCAAATCAAGAATTTTAATTTGTACAAAAACACAAAAAAAATATATATACATAAATTATTTTTTAATGAAAACAATTTTCGTTGCATAAAAAAGTTGATATGTATTAAGTGCAGTTGAGATGCATGAACATATGCAATATGGCATTAGATAACCATGAACCGACAGTCGTGTGGACACTGACATGTGTACCGTATATACATGCATAGGCTGCTACTAAATTAAAAAAGCTATGCAGCTGATGCTTGTTCTTGTTTTGGCAACAAGCTATACATTATATAAATGCTAGGCAAAAGCTGATCATAAGATTTTTTGTTTAATTACAACAGCAATTTTCGCTTAACCGCAGGTGGAAATAGTAGAACAAATCGGCGAATCGGTGGCGATAAAACTAGAATGGCCGAATGGGAGATATCGCCTTAAGCGAGTACTTGCATTCGATCTAAAAGGAAAAACACAACAAGTTTTATTTTTTGTAAATGTTCTGAACACGCACACGAGTAAACAACTAATTATTGCAGAGTTTAAATGATTTAATATGGTCATGGTCGAATGAAAAATTATATGAAATCATGCTCAATGTGCTCTACAATGTATGTATATATATGGTACAGAAATGAAAAATAAAACATTATTGGCCTCACTTTTTACGGCTCGAAAATGTATTGCACAGAAGCTTTTAATATATATACAATTCCTAGCAACTATAAATTAAAAAGTATATTTATTATTAGGAATAGAAAATATGAAAATTGACAACGTTGCGAAGGAAAATATTACAATTTATGAAAACTTATTTTTGTTGCGACTAAAAATTTAGTAATTGAAAACTAAAAATTGAAAAAAAAAGAATTTTCTACCATAAAGATATCCATAGGAAAATTGGCAACATTGCCATGTTGTCATTCATGAAAAATTACAAGAAAGGACTGTTGAAGAGACAAACCACTGAATGATGTAATAACTAAAAATTGAAAAAAAAAATGTTTTTTACGAGAAAGACTGTCATAGGAAAACTGACAACGTTGAAAAAGAAAATATTGGCTGTTGAAGAGACCAACAACTGAATGATGTAATAACTAACAATTGAAAAAAAGTGTTTTTACGAGAAAGACTGTGGTAGGAAAATTGGCAACGTTGCCAATTAAAATATTGGCTGTTGAAGAGACCAACAACTGAGCGATGTAAAAACGAAAAATTAAAAAAAAAGTATTTTTCTACTAATAGATAGGAAAATTAGCAGCGTTGTCCAAGAAAATATTCTAATTCGCGAGAAATTACATAAAAATTACTTTTGCAGGGACTAAAAATAAAACTTGCAAGAAATATAACCATACGAAAATTGGCAACATTGCCCAGAAAAATATTGCAATTCATGAAAAACCACTATTTCTGAGACTAGAAATTGAGTAAGCAAAAACTAAGAATTTAAAAAAAGGCTTTTTACTAGAAAGCTTTTCGTAGGAAAGAAGGCAATGTTGACAGCCGAAAAAAGAAATTTTACTTCATGAGAAGTTTAGAGAGACTGTTTAAGCGGCTAAGAATTGGGTAACTTGCTTACTAAAAGTTATAGAATAGACATTTTGGTAACATAGGCATTGCTCTCTGAGGTAGTCAATATGTATTTTATTTATATCGATCGAAGCTCACTCCTCTTTGTTCGAAGTAGGCGCGATATTGCTACGGATTTTGAGTAAAAAAAAATTGTTTTGGGTTTGGCAGGATGACTACCTCTTTGTGTTTCAAAACTATAATATAGCTATCGAAATTTTTTTATAAGAGATTTTTATGACGTTGAAGTTATTTGTAAACTAATGAACAGGTATTTTAATAAATAGTTTAAACATTTTTTTAAAAAAAATTCGGAAAATTAATTCAGAAGTATTTGCATGAAAATATGAAATTTTGAAAATTAAATTTTCAAAATTACGCAATTGCCATTTTAATTTTGCTTATTATTGCGCGTGAATAATTGTTTTCCTTGCGCAAAATTATTCCGTGTGTCATGGCGCATGAGCAACATACTAGTAAATACTCGTATATGATACTTGTAAGCGCTCAACGGTAAGGTTCTAGATTGATCGCTGGAAATAAACTGTAGTTTTAAGAAATGATGCATGAAACGAGACCATTTCGTAGGCTATCAAAAATATTTGTATTTTTTACTTGAAAACAAAATTTTTATATTTAGTATGTATGTACATACATATAAATCAGAAAACTAATATATTCTAGGTAATACATATATACATATAATTTCACAATGTTAATCGCCAAATATTACCGCTTTTTATAGCTTCCTATTGGTTGTACAAATATTCAAACACACTGTAGTGTCAGAGAATTAGCCAAAATATTAAATACTTAAAAATAGTATAATTAGAAACAAATTTACCATGCAACAATTAAATTTATATTACAACCATTAACCGCTAGATAAATATCTTACACGTTGAACAGCATCTATAAAGAGCAGTGCAGTCGTGAAAACGTTAATAGTATTTATTGTGAATTATTTGGTAGTACAAAATAGTTAAAAAAAATATTAAAATTAAGTGGAATTTCCAAAATTTCCTAAAACGTTCTTTTATTTTACTTTGAACATGTTAGATTTGAAGATGACAGCGAATCGTGTTTGGTACGGCGTGGCAATGCTGCTTGGTGCGGCCAACATCATGGCCTCCGATATTCTAATGGTCACAATGGGTGGCACGAAATCACACAAAATACCCTTTTGGGAGTTGGCGAAGAGGTTGATACACAGGTGAGTAAAGTGGAAAAATTTTACAAAAAAAAAGTATATAAAAAAAATTTCTTTACATTTAATGAGTTCAAAAAAATTATTAAAAATAAAAAAAAAATTAAAAAATTTAAAAAAAATTAAAAAAAAAAATTAAAAAAATAATATAAACAAAAAAATGCAATTAAAGAAAAATATTAACATTAAATATTGTTCAAATATCAAAAAATATATTTTTAGGTTATGAAAAACCGAATAAGATTTATGTATTTACTTTATTCAATATTGATCTAGTAAAAAATAATCCAGTATTTACGCATTAAATTAATTTTTTTTTTTTAAATAATTGGCCTGTTTGCCATTTTAAATGTAAGGTCATTGTGCCGCGCTCACAGAAATCCTTGTCCCCATTAACAAAAAATTGGGACAATAGATTTTCGCTGATTTCTCCTGAGTCCAATTCTTCACCAGCCAAAACATTTGTCAAGGACAGGAATAGATGGTAATCACGTAGTGCATGGTCCGTACTATAAGATAAATATACATAAGAACCTCCTAACCAAGCTCGCGGAGCTTCTGTAGAGTCACTATCGATGTGTGTGGTCTGGCGTTATCCTGATGAAACATAATTCCTCTCGGCACTTTTGTGCGATTGCTTTCTTCGAAGGGACGTATTGAAAGTTTGATCTCGTAGGGGGGTCCATAGTGGACAATTTCTTGTCAATTCTACAAAAAACACAACAAAATCTTTCTCGTTGAAGACCATTTTTAGAGGCTCACTGCCCTTAGATCACGACTGTTTCTTGTTTTCATTTGACTTTGCTGTAACTGATGCACTTTACATTATCCATCACCAAGCGCTTCGCTCCGTGAGGTTTTCTCTCGTTAATTAATGTGGCATTCATACCTCGAGCTTGCTTGTATATCCAGTCATTTTCTAGTAGTTCCAACTGTTTTTTCTTTTTTGTGAAATGTTAAGCTGCTGGGCAATCGAAATAGTGAGCGCAAGAGAATCAGACTCATCAATTCATATTATTTTACAAGCCTTTTTTTTACTGGAATTTTTATTTTGAAAGTGCAAAATATGCATTATTTTGTAAATTTTCTACTTTTTGTCATTTATTTTTTATTTTAATTTTACTACTTTCAGCGGTCACAACATTACCTTTCTCAACGGTTTTCCATCGGATTTTCATATTGACGGCTTGCATGAGATCACACCAGCTGGGCTGGTTGAGTACATACAGAATTATACAAATTGGGATTTATTGGGTTCACGTATGTCTGGCGAAATGCCGCTGTCGATGTGGGATGCATTCCGATATGCATTTGAGGTGAGTCTAATATGGTATAAAAATTCAATCGAAATTCATAATTGCAAGGGAGCTTTCCAGTGCACTGTAAAATCATTAGTCGGTTTGACCTAGTAGTGTGGCTTGAAGAGTTTTAATCCAATGTTCCAGAGGTCAAGCACTTTTCCATTTTTCACTACCATCTGACTGAATCAGTTCTGGGCTTCGCAAAAGCGCATCGAGCATAATAATTGCCCCGATTGTTATCGGGACTGCTGCTCTCTGATTTTATTGCAGTTCTACACAACCCCCACTGATTGAAATTAGGTTTCGAATAATTAGTATAAATTTTGATTTGAGTACCATTATTTCCTACATTAATTAGTAGGTCTTTATGTCTCTTTTTGCATGGAATAAGAGAGTGTGACTACACCTATCTAGTACCAACAAAGAAAATACCAGTACGAAAACGGAATATTAGCTCTATTTCACGTGATAGGGTAAGCCGTCGTAGTCTTACAAATGATGTCCACGACAAAAAAGTCTTGTTCGCACATAGAAATTACGCAGCATGTGACATACATTAAGACCAGAAAGTTTTCGGAAATTATTTTTTTTTCGATATTCGCGGTTTGGTTCACTATGAGTTCGTTCCAATGGGACATACGGTCAATAAAAAATATTATTTGAGTATCTTGAGGCGTTTGCGTGAAAACATCCATCGTTAGCAGCCTGAATTCTGGGTCAACAATTACCGAAAACTTTGCAGAGGGAATTGATGTCGCGGTCGCCCTTCGGCAGTGAATGTCCACCCCACCGAGTGTATTTCGGATATGAAAAAAAGACTCCTCGTAAAAAAACAATCAGCCGTTCGGAGGGGACTTAGTACAAACTGTAGGCCTCTTGCTTTGTTGGAAAAAACATCTAGACGTAAAACCATAAATTGGAGGAGGAGCTCGGCAGAAAAATCACTTCAACGTGTGCAACCAAACTTACCAAAAAAAAAATGTTGAAAAATATTCAGCGCGTTCAGCTTCTGGTCTTAATGCACAAAGAAAATTATTATAATATTTTTTCTAGAGTAGGTCGGCTGAGTACAGATCTAACAGAGGAGCAGAAAAACTGCTGGAGCATTACATTCGTGAGTTGCCGGGATGCAGCCAATTGAGACGTCATAAATATTTCATGTACTCCGACCTCCAGATACGGATGTTTTTATGCATGATTGGAAGGAATTAAATCCTTCAACAAAATCGACTAGTCGTATCATTCCAATTGAAATTTTCATAAATTATAACATTTCGTTGTGATTTGGGTAGAGAAAGGTTTTTCCTTTTACTCTCTCTACTGCGGTCTGGTTCTTTTTTAATATATATTTTTTGTACTCCCTTCACTTCGCTTCAGATCACATAATGACCTTGTGAAAGAGAGTAGTGTTTTTGTTGTATCGGTCGGTAAGTTAGTAAGCGACATTTTCTCTGACACGTCACGGCTCTAAAACAGGTATGATTTGGACTGCCAATTATCATCCCACAATCAGCGCTTGAATCTCAAATGATTACTTAAAACTCAATACCCAATTCATTACCAATAATTTCTTGTGTCAATCATGGGTCTTCTCGTCAATTCTGGATTTCACCAGAGCTACAGCGACGTCAACAGCGTAAGAGTTTGGTCGACATTCTCGACGGTGCTCGTCCGCTACCGCAAAATGTCCGGTCTGGAATCTTCGGAAACACCAAGAAATAGTCTTTAAAGACGTTGTAATCGTTCCATATGCAATTTGGCTTTCAATGAATATCTCTATTGGCTGTAGATTACCCGAATTACCCGAAGTCAATCACATGGCGAATTTCTGTTTGCATTGGTGATGGAATTTCGTCTGATCTATCCTCAGCTATCTTACGTTTGCTCGTCTCCATTTTAGCCGATCCATCAATAATTTGAAAGGAAGACTACCAACTGACCGAACTTTTGTTAATCCCCTCGTTTATGTGTATGCAAGCTCAGCAAACGCGTAAACAGTTAGTTACAAAATTCATAAACACTCGTGTGTAAAGTAATGTAATAATATGACTGTATAGGTTTATTTATAAATTTATTATTGTTGCTTTTATTTGCCACGTTACGACTCAAGGCTGACACGTCCCAGTTGGTGAGCCTCTGAAGTGGGCCTTTTGCACAATATTGCGTGTGGGGTAGTTTTGACGGTGATTTCTGTTGATTATTATTTTTTTTTTTTTTGCAATAATTGAAAACTTATGTTGAGCTAGGTCAATTTTTACAGCTATAACTTTAACCATCCGAAACTGTTGTCGTAATTTTTTCACTTTTTCGAAAATGTATGGTCTGAGACAGTTCCATAAGACTAAAAAAGCCAAAAAGGTCCATTTTAATTTAACACTCAAATAAAGTCGAGTGACACGTTTATCAGAAATAACGTGCCGAATATTCTCTAACAAGGCGTCAAACATCACGGACTTATCTGCATAGACAAGAACGAATTTACATAACCTCACAAAAATAGTCCAATTATCTTAAACCGGACGATCTTTAAGGATACGCCACAGATCGACGCCGGGAGACAATGCGAGCACCAAAAGCTCCCTTCAATGAATTGATTGATTCGTTGGTTGTATATAATATGTAGCGCCGTCTTGTTGGTCGACCACATCAACATCGAGATCATCTAATTTAGGCACGAAAAAGGCAATAATTATGGCTCTATAGCGTTGCCTGCTGGCCATACCATTATGCCTGGCTTTATTTTTTAAGGCATATAGATCCTTGATTCCCCTCTGCCCATAGTGCTCACCAAACAGAGACTTTTTGTGGATATAAACGCGTCTGAAAATTCAACCAAATGTGAGCTTCACCGCTGAACATAATTTGCTTGTGAAAATCCTAATCGGTGGCTAGCTCGCTTCGGGCCTATTTACCGAAGGAGCGCTTATTGGCTACTCTGATTTTTTTTGGCAAAATTTTTATATTATAAGCCCGCAAACTAACATCCTGCCAATTGTTGTGCGCGAAGGCGAATAGACACATTCGGATCTTTTTCGATACTCTGTTCCACAGCCAGAATAGTATCTTCGGTGCACACTGTGCGACGTCTTTTAGGATGCACATTATCCTCCAGCGGAAACCTAGTATCGTTGACTTTCGTGCGTAATTATTGTTTTAGTAATACATTTGCAGGACTTCGAGGTAAGCCTCCATTCGTTGTTCATTATGAAAGGGCAAATATTGCTGAGTATAAATCAAATCCGCGATTACCTCATTGCTCCACGTCTAAAAAAACGCCTTTTCATACAAAAAGTTTAAATTTTTTTTTTCTTTTTTTCGACTTGTGCTTATTTTTCCAAAACTAATTTTCATCCTCAGTCCTGCGATGCCATGCTGGAGGATGCTGAAACTAAAGAGCTCTTGAATCGCAATTTCGATTTGGCCATATTGGATGGCGCTTTTCCCGAATGTGCGCTCGGCATGGTCCATCAATATAAAATACCATTCATGTATATGAATACAGTTGGCTTCTACACCGGCAGTCTGGCGAAGTCTGGCAATCCTGGCTCTTATGCGATAACGCCGAATTTCTACACGAGCTTTACAGACACAATGAATATAATCCAGCGAGCCATGAATACGGGCATACAAGTGTTTCAGGATGTAATGCACAAGGTGATCAGCAGTAGATAAATTTCCAAATTACTTTTTTAAATTGCAATTTAATCTCACTCTGTTTTTCAGTTCGTCATTGCCATGGTGCATCGTGTGCTGCGTGAGCGCCTCGGTACGCACATACCACATCCGTATGACATGTCGAAAAATGTCAGTTTCATATTACAGAATGGTCATGCTGTTGTCTCATATCCGCGTGCGCTAAATCCAAATGTCGCCGAGATCGCTTGTATACATTGCAAGCCCGCCAAACCGCTACCGAAAGATTTGGAAGAATTTATCGGCTCAGCAGGTGAGTCAGGTTTCATTTATGTCTCCATGGGCTCGTCGGTGAAGGCGGCCAATATGCCGGAATCACTGCGTCGCCTACTGGTGAAAACATTCGCTCGCCTACCATATCATGTGCTCTGGAAGTATGAAGGTGATGCCTCGGAAATGCATGATCTCACATCAAATGTACGTCTCAGTCGTTGGCTGCCGCAACAAGACATTTTGGGACATCACAAGCTGCGCGCTTTCGTTACACATGGCGGTTTGTTGAGCATGTTCGAGACGGTGTATCATGGTGTGCCTGTGGTGACAATGCCCGTTTTCTGTGATCACGATGTGAACTCAGCCAAAGCGGAGGTGGATGGCTATGCGATCAAGTTGCAATTGCAGACACTTACGGTTAGTCAATTGTATAAGTCGATAATGAAGGTCATACACGATCCAAAGTACAGAAATGCAGCGCGGTAAGTTCGATGATGTGTTTGTAGGAGGAAATCTTAATTTTTCTCAAATATTTTTGCAGATTACGTCAAACACTGTTGAGAGATCAACGCACAACGCCACTAGAGACGTCCGTTTACTGGACGGAATATGTTCTGAGACATAAGGGCGCTTACCACCTGCAATCGCCAGCAAGAAATATGACGTAAGTACGATAATGAGGCCACAGAATATGAAACTTGAAAGAAATTCGTAATCTCTGAGAGGCAAGATGAAGTAGGGTAAATAATTTCCGCAACAATAGCCAAGTGGCTGGCAGAATATACCTCCATGCAGTCTCGAAACTTGGCCAGTCCAACAACAAGAGGTGTAGAAGTTGGGTCGGTAAGCGCTTCATCAGCTCCAAAGCGCCAATCACTAATATTTAGATTACACTTTAAAGCTTATATAAGATCTTCTCAAGTTTCTCGTTGTAAAAATATTTAAATTTAAAAATAGTTTCTATTTAATACTTTATCAATTTCTCACTCTTTCAGTTGGATACAATACTACCTTATCGACGTGGTCGCTCTCTACATCAGCGCCATCTATCTAATCTATTACTTGCTGAAACGTCTACTCTCACGCCCTGAAGTCATGCAACATAGCATACGTCATACGCAACAAAAAGTCAAAAAGCTGAAATGAAATGAAACTGAAGATAAGAAAACTCATTTGGTGATATTTCCATATGAAAGTGTGTCCGTTCTGTAGCCGCCAACTGTTCTTGGCAGAATGTATAGTTGAATTTTTATTTCTATTTTTTTTTTTTGTATACCGTGTGTGTGTGAAAATATTTTCTACTTTTTCTTTTGTGTAGAAAAGGTAAATGTAAATATTAGAAATACATAAATGTATTTAGTTTATAGTTAATAAAAGGAAATTTATATATGTATTTAATATTATGTATTTACAAAAAAAAAAAAAAAAAAAACGGCAAAATAATGTAAATTTGTATTTAATTTAAAATTTATAAAATAAAGTATCCAAACGCTGCCGAAATATAAATATTATATAATAATTAGATGTTATATATTTGATCATATTTATTAATCTTAAATAAGTGTAACATACAAATGTTTTTAAGCAGCTTTAGTCGAGTCCTTATATCATTGTGTTCGTGAAACACATCGTTATAACAAATTTAAAAAATTTTGAATTTCTGGTAAAGAATTACAATGAAATGCAAAATGAAACCAAAGTCAAATTAAATTTTAGAACGTCTGTTAAAGAATTTTTGTTTTTTCATGAAAAAAGTGTTGAAATTTTTTGTTTTTCATATAGTTTTTTTTCTTGTTGTAAGCTAGCATGAGCTACTTAAATAGCAACTAAAACATATTTAATGAAAGATTTAAAAAAAAAATAAATTCTTCCTTACTCTTACATGTCTGCATTAGCTGTAAATATGGTACTATAAATAAATGTTAACAATATTTTTAAATTCGTAATTTATTTTTTTTTGGTCTTCTAATCTTTAGCCCTCCAAAATTCCTCTCAGCTAAGCTAAAATTGATTAAAAATCCATTTATATTTTGAATTTAATGTCATTATGCTTTTCTCATAGAAACCCTTGCCCTTATTGATAAAAAGTTGGGACAATCGATATTTTCCAGGCTTCTCTTGAGACTAATTCTTCACCAGCCAAATAATTCGCCATAGACAGGAACAGATGTTGATCACCTGGTGATAAGTCCAGACTATATGGTGAATACCAACCTAGTCCTGGAAGCTTCTGGCGAGTCACTATCAATGTGTGTGGTCTGGTGTTGTCCAGATGATAAATAATTCCCTTTGAGTTGTCTTAAGTGCGCGCTTCTAGAAATTGCTTCCTTCATGCGGCTCAATCGTTGACATTTAAGATCCGAATTAAGAGTTTGGCCTTAGGAGAGCAGCTAATATTGGATAATACCTTGCTAATACCACTAAACACAAAACTAAACCTTCCTGCCTGTCTACCCGGACTGGAAATTCAGTCCATCTCGTTTTATTCTCGATAACTCATGAGGCACTCATATATCGATTTCCTTTGTGGATCCATCCGTTCTCTAGTGGTTCTAAATTATTTCTTGTACAACGTTTAGCTCATGGGAAATTTAAAAAATGCTCGACAAGTCAGCTCACACACGGTGGTTCATCTTTGACGTACATCAAAATTACCGGAACGAAATCGACGAAACCAAAATTATCCATGATTTACTGTTACAGTTTCAGATACATTTACATTTTTAGCTGCCCGTTTTGCTTTTTCGCCAATATCGGAGGAAAATTGTAAAATGTAGCGTATTTTCTCTTTGCTGGTATCCATCTTTAACATGCGCTCAATCGCTCCTGGGTTAAGTGATCAACACTTTTACCGATATTTTGTACAAAATACTATATATCTAGTGTAGTCAAGATGCACTTATAGAACCATCTATTGAAAGATAATTGACTATTTTTTACTAAGTCCAATATATCCTTTTTATTTGCTTCACTAAAATGCTGTAAATTAATTTATTAAAATATGAATTTCATTTCGGCTTGCGACAGATTGTAAAGTTGCTTTGTTATTATGCTATGCTACCATAAGGCAACCATGTTGTCGGCAATGCAGTTCAACATCAGCTGATGACATGTCAAAATTAAAATAGCAAAATTGTGCGCGTTATCGTTGAATGTGTAATTTCAGTTAAAAATTAAAAATTTGATAAAACCGTTAAGTAATATGTTTAGTGCATTTTGTGTGACAAATTTATACGATTAATTTCCGCTTATTTATTTGCACAAATATGCATATGGCGACCATTGTAATAGTGTGTTGATGCTTACTTGTGGCTTCTCAATTCCGAATATTAGTGTAAGAGGCTAGATTTTAAAACAAAAAAGCGAAAAAACATCAAATTATTTCGTGGCTTTTAAAGTGTTTTATTATAGAAAATAGTACAATATATATGCTTACATATGTATATCGAGTTCTGAGCGCGAAAAATACGTTGCTGCTTTTATGAAAATTTTAATTGATTAGCTCTCATAAAGATATAAAGCAATATAACATGAATAGAAAATTGGTACACAAGATATCTTGGGAATTCGGTGCAATTTTATATTTTAATTTACTCAGATCCCCATGCATAAGGCAAATCACAAAATAAAATTTCCAAAGACTGAAACATTCAAGTTTCGTAAAATAATGCCGATTTAAATTTCTTTTAAAACATTTTGTATATTATTTTATATAAAAAGGAGAGGTTAAAGGCTGCGATTGTGTAAAAATTAGCTAAAACTGTTATTTAAATTTTCAAATGTATGTACGACTGTAAAAATTTCCAAGTTCATTAACAATAAAAGATACCTAGTTTATTGATTAAATTAAAACGTGTCCATTACACATACATATGTACATGTGCAAAAAAGACAAAAAAAACGATGCATAATTATTTTAAATAGCGAAGAAAAAGTAGCTTTTGCAAACGATTTAGTTTTTACACGGGGAAAATCACTTGGGTAGTGCTCACGTTAATTAAGAAGAAGAAGAATTAGAAATACAATGAAAAACAATGTGTTTCATGACGAGCAATAACTATCTACAGTTAAAAAGGTAAGTGCCTTCTAATCGAATGAAATATAACGGTAATACCGTATGAAACTATTTATATTCAATTGAAAGTAGACAGCTGTAATTCACTTTTTAAAATGACATAATTATAGAAGATAAGTGAAGGAAAAAATTTAAACAACAACAACCAAAGCTATATATATGTGTATGTGGAAATAAAAAATTGCACTAACTAGACAAAAAAGTATGGCAATGTCATATACATATAAATTGAATATTGTATTCCACCACTTCATCCTTTGGGTATTCTTAAAATATTCGCATGAACCATTGATTAGACCCTTAATGGCTAACGGCATTTACAGTAAAAAGTTTTAACATTTACGTCTATATAATTTTTTCTCTATCACCCAATTAGCGGCACAATACGACTAAGTGCGGTAAATTATCGTTGTAACACCTAAATAGTAATTGCCCAAGAGAATCTGCTGAGAATTTCAGCAAATGTTGATATGATTGCGAAAATCGTCAGTATTTCACATTTATTACTATTAAACTAATAATTGTACAATATGACTGGTATACCATGTTTATAAACATTTTGAAATTTTTTCATATTTTCTACAACAACTACACTACAACAAGATATTAATTAAATAAACTTTAAATAACATTTTTTAACTCTTCATCGCTAACTCAATTTCAGAACGTCAAATTCTCTAATGTTTTTCGATCGTATTTACTTCAGTTGTTGGTGTAACATTTGTTGTGGTTATTTGATTTTTACCATATAACATATAGAGACTCACAAAGAGACCACAAGCACCGAAAATAGTTGACATCCATTTAAAGATATTATTAATTTTGATGACTCTATGGGGAAATATACCAATCGCAATTAGTGCTGGGGGGCGGCTAATATAACAATTTATGTGTTGTACTTACAAGAAAACCTTTTTCTTCAACATATCCGTCCATGTTTTATCCAAACTTGCTGCTTCTTCCACCCAAAATAGTGGCATGGTTAGTTTACGCAGACTCTTCATAACTTCAACTTCTGGTACGGGCATAACGGAGAGGCTAAATTGTAGGCGTTTGGCGGCAGACAATGGTGTACCGGAAATCTGTGGGTAAGGAAAGTAGAAGCTTTTGAATAAAAATATGTCCTTAATTGTTGAAAGCTCAAGCGGTGGTTATAGGCTTAATTAAGCAGAAATAAAAAAAATTGTACTTTTTTATCATTATCTAATGCGAGAATTTGCCAAAGCTTTAAGTTTGAAATACGAAAAGCTTTAATTCACATAAAAGCTTGCACAAAGCTTTAATGACCACATAATTAAATTTCTTTCTTTAGATTCATTTTCAGAGCATGTGGTATATGAGGGAAATTTTCAGCTTAAATTCAGGGTTAGACTTGCTTTTTAAAACTCTCCTAAGTTTTATAAAACTTTTCACTAAACACTAAAAGCTCAGCGTTAAATACCCTTCAGATAACACCATTGAAAACCTTCTATGAGTTTGTTTTAAGAGCTTTTAAAGGAAAAGCCTTGAGGAAATTATATGGGCCTCTGTATAAGCGCGACGATGAATATCGCAGGCGAGGAAACGAAGAGTTTGAGAAGCACCTGGCTTTTTCGAAACCAACATAAAAACATACTAGCGGATATAGCTTAGTCAGCTATAAACAAATATGAATAGGAGTCGCCATTTAAGAGTGAGAGATAAAGGAGTTCAACCCTGAAGTCAATAAACTTCTCTGAAATGAAAATAATATATTTTAAGGAACACTCTACCCCGACGAATTACCTATGCAAAGCTTACAAAGCTTAAAGCTGCATCACACAATAACTATTTGGGGGAATATTAACAATTTTCGGTTCACTTAAACTTAAAATTATATTTCTTAAAAGCATTCTAAATATTTGAGAGCGGTTGTTGTAAATGAGTTTTAATTGAAGCCATAGATTTTTGAAATAGGCGAAAAAAATGTCTCAAATTTGAACGTTGTCTTATATAATTGACGCTTTATAACCGCTGACGATTTTCGTACAGGCTTCTCCTACAATTGGTCGTGTGCGTCTTGATGTTGTTCCAACAATATGAAAGAATCTACGGTTTATATTAAGCCGTACCGGAAAGTGAGCTTTTTTCATGTCGGAAAAACACTCGAAGTGGTTGACATTCGCTGCCAAGAGGCAATCCACGGCTAATACTTAAGAATTTTATAAAGCTTATTAAGCTTAAAGCTTCAACATTTCAAACTGTTTTATGCCGAAAGAGAAAGGATCAATTTTCACTTCTACTAAACTTAAAAAAAGTATTTGTGGTAAGGGAGCTTTTCTTGCTTTAATTTAAATCACGCAAAGTTTTTGATTTTCTACTTACACTTTCGAAAATAATAAATACACCATGCTTCTCCTCCTGCGGATTGAGGCCATCCACATCTGCAACCAATTGCGGATCCGCTTTAAAGAAGTGAGGCAAAGATACAATCAACGGTGCCTCATTGCACAAAGTGAGATCCATAGTGCCTTTAGGTGGACAGTCGTCTGGATAGTCTCTGCAAAAACAATGCAGCTCTGGATCGTTCTAAGGAATATAAAATTAATTTGACTTTCATTTTGTGAAATTGTTAAAAACTTTGTGACAGTCCTCATTACCTTTGGGTCTCCCAAATCAATTGTGTAATAATATGCCGGTATGCCAGCATATTTCGTTTTCTTTTCATATTCAGCACCCAGAGAACGACATAAATCGGCAGCAAAAGACCAAAGACCCTCTTCGGGCTTCATTAGCGGCGCAAATATTGTTGTATCAGTGCCACGAAAGCGATTGCACTCATCACCATCCCAAACACTGAGCTCATCAGAATCATCAAATTCCAGTACGCGGCCAATATCACGATTCACCTTGACACCGCGCGCAACCTTGTAGCGGCCGGCGTCAGTGTGATTGGCCTGTGATTGCATTTAGCGGAATAAAATACAATTAATAAATTTACTTTACTATATTTTAAGGAACTGCAAACTCACACCGCCCATTAATGAGAATTTAAAATGTGTTTCATTCACTTTAACAGCGCCCTTGACGGCTCCAGTATGAAAGTTCAAACAAATCGCCGTGGCAGCGAAATGATCGACCGAACAGTCCACATCGATGCCCCTGAAGAAGATATCCATAAATGGTGCACGTACAAACGGTGTTGTCGGCTTAAAAAGCGCCTCAATACCCTCGGATATCATATTGATCATTACTTCTTTATCGCGTTTAACGGCAATCGCCATGATCTAACAAGAGAGTACAAATTTCTCTATAACAAAACAGCCCTCACTCAAAATCTCATTCTAGTTACCTGTATCAGTGGATGTGGCATCACTATAAAATCCTCGCCACTCAAACCCAAATCAGGTCTAAAAATAAAAGTATTCCGCATATTATACGCCACCGCGTCTTCGTCCTCAAAGTCCTCCAAATCATATTTGTCCTTCCATTCTCTTCAAAGCATATATTTATTAATGTAATTAGTTACAATTTTAAAATGCTTTTTGTGATTTGTTTGTATATATGTATGTAGCTTATGCCACTTACTCAAACACGAACGGTCCGACCTCTTGCAGGTGCGGTTTTCCACCATTCTGCACCTCATCGGGATTAGTCACATTGAAGACGTAAACTGAGAAATTGAGCGCAATCGGAAATTTTTCCCACATTTCACGTGGTTCACTGCCAGGTTTCAAATTTAATTGCTATTGAAGCAAACACATAGTTATTAAATAAGCCATTGAAATATACAAATAATGGATTTGCAACAGAAAATGTTGAATGCTAAGGGATGTAACTGATTTATGCAAACAAAAAAAAAAATGGAAAATAATGAAAAGTGTTAAAAATAATAATCAAATCTGAACACCAAAAACCCAGGAAAGGATCGCCTTCTTCACTGCACGACTACAACTACAACCAGCGAAATCCTTGGCTTCCATCTTCACCAGCAGTATGAAGGAGTACTGGCTCGAACTTAATGTGAAAGTCGTTGGCAACAAAAATTTCGACTGTGAGCAACCCGTAGTTACTGGGAGCCATATTTGACAGTCTATATGCCTTCACTTCATATACGAATGTAATTGCCACAAAACTCCACAGCCGCAAAAAAAAAATAATCAAAGAATCTTTGGAAAAGATAAAGAAACTGGCAACTTAAACTTCAATCTGGGCGCTGGATATTAGTGAGACACAATTTCTGCTGGCATATTACCGTAGAGAACTATCTTCCACTAAATGGTGTTCTCTAATCTCAACCCATTAGAGTCGAAGAGCTCGAAGAGAGAATTTACCAATGGTAAGGCATTTCTGTCGTAAGATGCGTCTAAAACCCAATAGTTCCCGCGACAGTCGGGTCTTTATACCGGAGCGACCCGTATTGTTATCCGGCCAAGGACTGTCACTCCCGCAATATTCCCCGAAAACCTATTCGGGGAATAATTTGCGGTTACAACAACAACAACAACAGCTTGATCTGCCTCGAGAGCTCCAGGTTATATTGACCCTGGATATTGTAATCCACTAAATTCCTACCTGTCCGGATTTAACATCGACATATCCAACGTAACAAACATGCAAACTCTCCTGAAACCAACTCATCTAAATCCACTTTCCCTCCGGTCTGAATCCGTCGAAACAGCTCGTTTCCTGGACCTCGCAATACATGATCTCGGTAGCTTAAATTCATCTTCCTTACTCCTAAGCGGGTTTGGTAAAACGATACAACAACAAAACCAGAAACTAGCAGAGTTGGCTTCTGTATTTTATCCAATTTTTATTCTAATTGATACTAAAAAGAACAATAAAAACCCCTAAATAAGCATCATAAAAGTCAAATAGTAATTTGTTTCTATTTTATTATAGATCTAACTGTTTATTGGTATTTCCAGGTCACTCCTTCGCTGCTCAAAGTCTTTCAGTGCCAATATGAAAGCCTCGAGGGAAGCTAAACGCGCCTATCGGATCCAAACTTATTCAGACTCAAGTTGTCTATATACAAATCAAACAAATTTTTGTTAATCTCTCAGTGATACCGCTCCCTCTCCAAAAATTTAACTATAACGACCCATGGCTAAAATAGATCGATCAACTTTCCTTAAAGAAAGTATTTAATGTAAATCGAACCCTGCTTATTTTCGAATAAGGTGGTCGGTCTCTGGTATAGATCCCGTGGGGAAGAATATTATTCCTGTTAACCCAAGTAAATAGTCAAATCGAACTATAAATTTTTTTTAGAACAAGTGGGTCTCTAACCCAGATCCTAGCTATCTGAATTTACATCCAATCTCGGATTATAGGCACATTTACAGTAATAAAATAGCTGGCGAGTTGACCAAATCTAGAGCGTCATTTGACGAATCTAATGCTCTGTAAACACCATTTCCATTATGAACGATCAAGAGCGAGTTTCACAAAAGCAAAAACAAATGAGCTAATCTACAGATCTAGTAAAAGTATGTATGTATACAGGGTTGATGATATCTTATCCCACTTCATTGCAAAACTTACGAGGCCTGTCTACGTGAAGGATATATTTCCAAGGCGTGGACCAGGGGCAATGTAATTTTTATCCAAATAGGAGGAAGAGCCATCCACGTCAGTCCTAAGGACTTTCGGCCCAATAGTCTTACCTCCTTCCTCTTAAAAATCTTTGAAAGGCTGCTTGACTCGCCTTTTAAAAACATACGCTCGGAATATTCCTCGACAATGAAGGGGCATTCAACAATATTCTACTTGCATTTGTAATGGAGGCTCTTCAAGAATTGGGTCTCCAGCAGCCCATAATAAGTCTTGTAGGGTCTCTTCTAAGAAACAGGATAATTTTCGCACCCCCCAAGAAAGAGTTTTATCGACACTGCTGTGGTGTCTAAGATGGGGTCTAAGACCGCGTATACATCGGTTGTTAGGCCAATCCTATTATACGGTGTTACTGTTTGGGTACTGAGTGGGCCAGCACTCGATAAAATTAATTTCAGGAGCAAACTAGAGAGGGTTCAACGATCGCCGAGTATCCTGGTAACAAGGGCACTTCCATCAACTCCCTCGAGATCCCTGTTAACTCTTTTCAACATCTCTCCTCTGGACCTATATGGGAAACTACAAGCGGGCTGCAATGCAATCAGACTGAATGCTGCTCAACCTTGGCCTATGGCAAAGCACCTGCTTAAACTGGCTTTTATCAGAGAGGCTGACTCAAGATGGTTGAACGAGATCACGTGTAACGTAACCAAGCAACTATCTCCGAAGGTGGACGCGAAAAAAATCTAAACATCTCCTTATAGATAGGGCATAATAACTGGACAATGTTTAATGGGGCTTCACGGAAAAATAATGGGATATCATTATAATGATTTCTGCTGCAGCTACAGGGATGAAGAAGAGGCGGAGACCATGGAGCACTACCTCTGCCACTGTCCAGCCTTGACATCAGCGCGATACAAGTTGCTTGGGAAACATTTCTTCGACTGTCTCGCTGAGATAGGCACACCTATTGGCCTAAGTGTGCTGGCAACAGCAGTCGCATTAACTCAACTCAACTCGTGTATAGCCTTGCATGACGTTACTGGCCCATTCGAGAGTGTGTAACTAAAATTAACAGATCAACAAATATTCACTTTCCTTTCCAACTCTTTCACAAAATCGGTACAGAACACTAGGAATTTATCAGATATTACACCTTGATTCACTGTTTACAAAAAAACAAATCGGTTATAAGCAGTTTCATTGAGAAGTCCAAATGTTTCGAACGTAAATATGAAGCGAGGTCTTACTATATTCGCTAACTCAGGTTTTTTAATTGTTCGGGTGGTACCCAATCGTACAAACATTGTCGTGATGACATCCCCTCGAGGCAGATTTAACCTCCATCTGGGAAAGAAGCAACAAGTCTTTGTAAATCGAAGTATAACCTTAGAGTATCTAAGGAAGATGAACACTGAGAGCTATTTGCTTAAACGGTCTTATAAATTTCAAAGTCAAGTCATTATCTCGTTACTTCGTTTTAAATTCATTATAACCAATTGGTCCTCCCCTCCCTCATGATATATTATTAAATAAAAGACTAACATCGAGTCCAAAATTATACTAAATAAATTTTTCAATTGCGGTCGTCCATCAACAGGGTATTTTAAGCTCTCCGAGTGTATTTATGATATGGAATCAAAGCTGCTCATAAAAATCCATTGACCGTTCAGAGGCTTCTTAGAGTAAACTGTAGGTCTATCCATTATTTATTGGAAAATGTCAAGACACTCTTTGAAAATTGGAGAAGGAACACCATAATGGTGCGGTTCGGTCTACAAATCGCGTACTTCGTCCAAAATTCGGTCGACATAATCGCTTAGCAGAGTCGATGAAACGAACAACCATTGATCGTTTTCGCACTATGTTTACTACAGTGGATATAGCGCATCCTCAGAGACGACGTACACCGAAGATGCTATTGCTGCTATGGAGCAGAGTATCGAGGAAGACCCGAATGAGTGCATGTGCTATTGCGCACAACAACCAACGACTTCATGGACGTTTTTGGGAAAGGATCAATTACGAAATCCAACTCGTGCAAGTATTGAAGCCTAACGATTTTCAATCGCTATGCACTTAGGATGAATGGACCCCAAACGAGGTGGCCACCGACCGCGATGTTCATAAGAAAATTTTGTTCTGCGATCAAGCTCACTTTTTTTTTTGGATTGCGTTAATAAATAAAATTATCACATTTGGAGTGATGATTGTACACAAAGAACTGTCGTTCATTCTCAAAAAGGCACTGTTTGATATGCTTTATGGGCAGAGGGCTAAAGAACCAGAATTGACTATTTTTTTCTGTCTGAATTGGAGGATGTTGCTGTGGTTGACATTTCGTTCCAACAAGCCAAAGTTCAATTTATTTGAAGAATAATTTTGGTGAGCATTGTAACGATCGTCTGGGGGCTTGGTATGGCCTCCAAAATTTGGGCGATTTAACACCGCTGGACTATTTCCTTAGAGAGGTTACGTCTAGAGTTCATTTGGTCACTTGTTCGAAATCGTTTTGTAAACATAATGGTTAAATCCTTATCTTTTTAATAAAGCTAAATTCATTACATAAAATTTTTTTTGTGTTTTGCTTCTTCATGAGAACCACATGTCTGAGAGAAACATTTTGCTTATTCTACACCGGAGTGGCTGTAAAAACTGGCTAACTTTTCTTTAATACATCTCAATACATCGATAAAATCTGCAATAGCTTGTATTAGTTTAATTTTTTTAGAACAATTATACAAAATGTTGGGATCTCATATTCCAGGGTTCTTAGTTTTTGATAATAATTTTCGAATTTTGTATTATCAAGTAAAATTATTTTACTGCGTACTTAAGATTGGCAATTCGAATTTAGTTATTTTTATTTTTAATTTCATAATTATAATTTATTTTAAATTTCTTAATTTTCCACGGAACTGAATTTTTAAATTTTTTAAATTAAAAAAATATTGATTTTCTTTTAAATTTTATTTTTTTGTATTTGAAATTTTTTTTTATTTATTTCTCTTATTTTTTATTATAATTTTATATACTGGTATTTAATAAATTTCGTTTTGTGTTTTTTTTTTCAAGCCGCTTACCCCTTTAATCATTTTCTTCAATAACTTTGGGAAGCCTATAAATCCAACAAATATGCCAAAAACGAGCGCAATCGCAGATCCAATGAGTATTTTCTTATACATTTTGGCAAAAAAAAAAAAAGCAATTTTTTGTTTCCGAAAGTTCTTTTTTTAATATTAATTATTTGTTGTTTAATAATATATTTTTTTAATATTTTATATTTTTATATTTTTTTTTGGTATTCTAAAAATTTCACTTTAATTAAATTTTTTTATTATTTTTTTTATTGCAACGCACGTAACGGGTTTCAAAAAGTAACTGTTTGAAAATTTTCGCTGTTTGCTAATTTTATTCCAACTTCACTTGAGCTATCGACGTATTATTGTATTGTACAATAAATAATTGCATTAAGCATATATATGCATATAATTACATACGAGTATATAGCTATATAACTAAAATACCCGTAATTATCTACTAACACATTTTAATACAAGCATAAGTCTATGCATTTATGTCCTTACAGTCCTTTTCACCAAACGTTTGTTAATAACATTTTTATGAATTTTTAATGTACACCTTTCATCGCGACTTCTTTCGGGCAAGCCGTTAAGTGAGCCTTTCACATTCAATTGCCGACATTTATTGGGTGAGAGCGTCCGTTTTCAATTGCAGAGGCGTTTTATACACAAGTCCAAATATTTATTATACTTATTTGCTTAAACATATTTGTCTGTTGCATTTAGATACGAGGGGATTAACAAAAGTTCGGCAAGTTGAACAGAAAAAAAAACAAAAAAAAAAAAATGTTTTTGTATTTATACGTAATCTTTGTCTTTTTTATCTTCTCTACATAATCTCAATTGATTTCATTACACATCTTAAGCCTTTAGATCCACTTATGAAAACAGTCTTCAGTTTCTTGCTTTTTAATCCTATCAAGTTCAGCATTAACCGCATTAATTATCTCCTCTTTGCTATTGAAGACCTTTTCTTTTATTTTTTTTTTTTAATTTTTGGTAATAATGAAAAATCACGAGGTGAAATATCATCGGCGAATTTGGTGCTGGCGGTATTTCCTCGATCCCAGAGGTCGCAATAAAATTACTCCTTATTTCAGCAGCGTGACACGTTGTCATGATGTATAAAGTAGCGCTGTAGAGCCTCTTTCTTTTTGTTTTCCAACAAATTTTTCAAAACATTTGATAAGCACTCTTCGGTGTACCATTTCGCGGTTACTTTCTGATCTTTTTCCAGTGGAATAGCTGCTCCGATTTAGATCGGGTGAAGTCAACTGAAATCATTACTTTTGCTGCTGTTTTTGTTGCTCAGATTTTTCTGGTGGGTTTGTTCCTGTTGGGCTTCATCCATCAAATGTTGTTTAGTTTTTGGATTGTACTTATAGAACCAAGACTCGTCACCAGTAACGACTTTACTAAAATTCCTAGACTTTCAAATTTGTTAGAGAAAAATTTAGCAAAATGCACCCGAGTATCATTTTGAGCCTCATTTGAAATTCTTGGTATCCATCGAGCAGATTTCTTCGTGTATCTCAAATGATTACTTAATACTCAATACCCAATGCATTACCAATAATTTCTTGTGTCAATCCTGGGTCTTCTCGTCAATTCTGTATTTCACCAGAGCTACAGTGACGTCAACAGTGTGAGAGTTTGGTCGACCTTCTCGACGGAGCTCGTCCGCTACCGGAAAATTTCCGGACTGGAATCTTCGGAACCACCCAGAAATAGTCTTTAAAGACGTTGTAATCGTTCCACATGCAATTTGGCTTTCAATGAATATCTCTATTGGCTGTAAATTACCCGATTTAGCCAAAGTCAATAACGTGGCGAATTTCTGTTTGCATTGGTGATGGAATTTCGTCTGATCTATACTCAGCTATCTTGCATTTGCTCGTCTCCATTTAAGCCGTTCCACCTATAATTGGAAAGGAAGACTTAAAAAGTAGTTGCAAAGGAGTTGGTATTTTAAGATTTAACAAAAACAAATTGAAAGTCACCAACTGACCGAACTTTTGTTAATCCCCTCGTAGTTTCAATATGTAGTATAAAGAGTTATTTTGTTATTAAGAATGTCTAATGTTTGGGGGTGAAGGTTAAGGATTTTTGTGTGACACTTTGAGACAAAAATATTTTGGTTTCATACACGAATTTTAAAATACCTGCCAAGTTTGGCGTGAGTAGAGCAACGTAAATTTCATTATGCTTTAAGGAAAATATTTTGTTGTAGTAAGGTAAGTAAGCAATTTTTAGGCGGTTGGCGTGACCTACTTATTGTTTCACACTTGGTGCGTATTAATTAAGTAATTTGCTTAGATTCTATTGGATAGAAGTAACTGAAATTTTGATGGTAGCTTCACAAATACACTTTTTTGGAAGTACATAACCGTTTCTCGATTAAATGTAAATTGGTTTTTAATAATTGAGCGCATATTTTTTAGTCAAAAATTATTATTATGTTTTTTAAAGTGTGCCGCCTTCACAAAAATTAGTTAAAAAACAAATCCGTACGTACTTCTAAAGACTATAGTTTGTAGATCATAAAACTTTTTGCTTTTCTGTTATAGATTTCATGCTTTAGAAGAAATCGGTCGTCCCGAGGAAGCCTTTCAAAAAAGTTTGGATTAAATAATGAACTTTATCGCCGCCATTTTGTAACAAAATATTAATTGAAGAATATTTGTTTATTTTTCAATATATGTTCAATAAAATGATTAAATAGAAATTCTATTGCTTTTCCCATAATCCTTTAAAAATTAAGAAAAATTATTTTTTGACCTCTGAGTGGCCTTACCCCTTAACTCAGTAACAGTAGTGGAGCACAATTTTGGTTTCGTCGATTTAATGTAAAAGTTGTTCCACGGCGTGGAAAACGTTTGTCGAAAATTGTTTTGATTCCCCAGGAGCTAAACATTGCGCAAAAAACAATTTGGACCCACTTGAAAAAGGCTGGATACACCAATAAGCTTGATGTAAGCGTGCCACCTGAGTTAACAAGAAGAAAAACCTCATGGACTGAATTTCCGTCTGCGAATCGCTGCTGAATCATAACAAAAACGACCTATTTCTTTAGCGGATAGTGATGAAAAATGGATCATTTACAGCAACGTCAAAGAAAAACGTCGAAAGGCTGTGAGCTGGCGCGAAGCATATTTTATGTCAAATTCCTAAATCAAAAGCGTTTCAAATACCATTCCAAATAAGCAGGTGCTGATCGAACTCACCGTGGTTATCTTTAGTATCAGATAACAGATCCATTGATAGTTCATAAGGGAAACTTCCTCCCTGTTAGAATGATCAGGTGGATATAGATTTGCCCTCACTTGGTGGCGCAAAACAGCGATAGACGTTCTATCGGCTATAATGCGACATTTAATAACCGTAAGTGTATAGGTAACCGATTTCATCAGCTCCGACGGAGTTTGTAGGCTGATTCGAAACCATCGAGATATAGCTAGAGCAGAACTCCTCATCAAGGTTCTCTGTCTCTAGTCACCCAACAAATGCTTTTGACTCGGTCAATTATCAGCCATAAAGTGCCACCTATGGACATTGATGACCCTCATCACTGCCATTCGGAAGGTTGTATAGAAAATAATTAAAATAAAAAATGAAGCTAAATTTTCTAATTGCGGTCGCCCATCGGCAGGGAATGTCAACCCCTCCGAGCGTATTTCTGATATGAAATATAGCTCCTCATAAAAAACCATCAGCCGGTCGGAGGCGGCTTAGTATAAACTTTAGGTCCCTCCATTTGTTGGAAAAACATCCAGACGCAAAACCACAAATTGGAGGAGGAGCTCGGCAGAAAATCGCTTCAGCGGTTACAAAGGGCCAATTATACATTACCGCCGTGGGTGGACTCTGATTACTCCTAGTGGTCGACAGTTATCGGTAGGTATTCGAGGTCAATCGTCAACACTCCGAAAGTTTATGCCAAAGGTTCGTCAGGTTGTTGTACTCTCCCACTTAATGAATAATTTTTATATTTCCCTATTCTCACAAGCTGATAACTGATCCACTTAGAAGTTAGGCTAGGATATTGATAACCTCTTTCGAAGGTAAACTGCTATCGAAAGTCGACGACGTCAAAATCTTGAGAACAAATAACCCCAAGTTATTGTGAGTCGCATTTTATAGCCTGCAGTCCCTCGCTCCGTGTACAAATTCCCTTGCCAGCAAAGTAGAGTGTCTTATACATATATCTCCAATTGCTAGCCCGCAGACCCTGTGAAAAAGCCAAAAAGCCGAAAAAATTACGCCTACATCGGGCATCGTGGTCTGCTGGTGAAGAAGGGGCAAGTCTGTCTAAACATCGGTCTTAAAGGCATAATGCCAAGACCTCTGATGTCACCTATGCACCTCCTAAGCAGTGGAACATCTGTGCTCCCATTTAAGTGGTGTGATCAATATCTGCTACCATGGAGACATTTAATGGAAGTCGAATCACCATCTCAGGCATATCAGACAGGGGGTACTCGACCTTAATCCGGATCAAAGAACAGAATCGCTGTATAGAACGACTTACTGATCGCCATTCAAATAGAGTCCGTCAAAACCTTTATGAGCTCTGTTGTCATCTGGTCATGAATGGCGTGCTCGAAGTCCAACTAGCACACATACCAGAGACAGACCTCAAGATACCACGGAAGACCCGAGACGTTCTGACATAATTACGGTCTCGCAATTGTAGTTGACTCTACATCTACCCATCCATATTTAACCCCGATACACTGAGGGTAGGTCCTGCATGGAATTAACATCCGAACAAACTCTTTGAATGCCCACTAAACAACAACAAAAATTCGACGACACGAGACAGGAATGGATGTAAAACGTGATTTGAACACTTTCCGGCAAATCTAATCACTGGGACGCAGACTTAGCACATCGAAAACTATTGAGCATTCTCGTCCTTACATCTGTATGTTATGAAGACCTCAGGATCTGAAGAGCATAAGTCAAATAACTGCATGATGAAAAAAAAGCCTTCCAGAATTGAATTTTCTTTCTCACTGTAGAGAATTATTTAACACAACAAAAAAATAGTATTTTTTGTTTTTTTTCTACGATTTCCGGCGATGCTTTCGTGTACATAATCGCACAACTGCATTTATCCAAGGCACAAACCATTAGTGCATTCAGTGTGTTGAGCTTACCAACTTCATGCGCACAACAGTTATGGGCAAACTACTGTCGTGGCCTAAGAATTATTCCAGTCTATTCAATTTAACATTAAAACAAACTGCTTGGCGTGAAGAAGAAAATTCTTGAATTTTTTCATTAAATTTTATTTATGAAAAACTGGTATTGCTTGCTTGCCTGAGTATTCATTCAAAAAAAATATATGTAGTATTTTACGGCGTTCATTAAGTAATAATAAAAGCTTAATACCAGAATTAAAATACGAAAGATTTTAAAATGAGATTCCCTGCTATGAGCGACTCCACTAAATCTTTATTTTTTAATAACTTCATATTAGCTCGGATTTTGGGCTGGCCAGGGCCTCAACGTCTGACCATTAAATAGGTGTTTCCATTTTTGTTGATTTTTTTACAGAATTCTTTACTTTTAGTTTAGAAATAAAAGTTATTATGACTAACGTGAGTATCTGACACAATATATTATTAATACCCTGTAATCGCTAACCATTTTCTGGTTGGGATTTCAAAAGTCTCACTAAATTTTTTTCTTATTTTCACAAATAATTTTTTTTCCAATATAAACACATTTAACGTACCAAGAAGAAACTTTAAACACACAAATCTTGATGTCGTCGGGTCGTCGATTTTCGCAAAGGGGGTCATTTGAATACTATAGTATGTAATGGTAAAATTTCAAACTTTATAAAATAAAAAAGAAATTTCATAAAAAAATATTTTAAGTGCATTTTATTTACGTTTATTTTTTCAACCGTAGAATGATAAAAAAATTGTATTTTAATATAAAAACGCACATTTATTACTCACACGTTTAAATTGGATTCCATTTACAAAAAAAAAATATTTTTTTACATAATAACGATTTATGTATTCATATATTATTCAAATTTTTTAATAAAATTTTCGCAGTTTCCCACATTTATTTATTTATTTATTTCCTAAAAAGAGTGTTGAAATAAAAGAAATAAATTTTATATTATCATAATATTTTTATATTTATTAAAAAATTTGGCATAGAAAAATACTAAAAACAACATTCACGAATAGTAGAAACATATTCTCTTGCATACATACATACATACAAACATACATTTTGACTGCACACACACACATATTGTCACCTGAAGGGCAAATAACATTTGTAACTGTTAAATATTTTATTTTGCAATTTTGAACAAATATTTTTGAAATATATACATAAATACATATGTACATATTTATATAAATGCGTAAAACGTTGGTTGTGGCGCATAATTCGATGGAATTCAATGAGAACAATGAAAATTGAATTTTGAATATTTTTTTTTTCTATTTATTTTTGCATTTCAGTTGACAATATGTACATATGTATGTCGGCATGTGAAAATTCACATTAACCTTTTTTGTTATTTTTTCCATTATTTAATTTATAAAGCATATGCATGTGTATGTGTTTAGTTGTTTAAAACTAAACTACATTTACATGCATATTAGTTTGTGTTTGTTTTAAATTTATCTGCTATACATGTATAAATGCATTTGTATATATGTATGTGTGTATGTGTAGACATATGTAGATATTTATAACACGTCTAATGTATAAATAATATGATTTTGTCACTATACGAATTATTTACAATTAAAACAAACAATTTATATATATACATATATGCGTTTATATGTTTTTTTTTGTTATTGGTATGCATGTGTATTTGTATTTATTACAAAATCTAATTCTTGTGCATGTTTTCACAGTTTTTTTCTTTTCTAATAAGAACATGCATTTGCATTTTGGTACTAAAATATTTATAAATTTAGAAAGATATTAATTAACTAATTTGCAATAGCACACCTACTTATATAGTTATATATGCATTATAGGTATACACTGGCGCTTAAGGATGATTTTTTATATTTCCAACATTTTTGTGATTAAATTTTTTATATTATTTTCCATGAAAATATCAATGAAATAATTTTTTTTTAATTAAAAATAATTAATTATTACATTAAAGGAATTTGGATTTGTAGTAAAATGACAAAAATTAAGAAAACATAAATCTTCAATATTACATATTTTTTTAATCACTTTTCGAAACACATTTTTTTAATAAAAAGATCAAATTGATTGAAATTTAGAATATTTAAAATACTTCACAAATATTTAAATTTTTAGTTATTTTATATTATTTATATATATTTCGAATAATGAACTCAAATTTATTAATATTAGTATAAAAAATTACATTGAAATTATAAAAACAATTTATTTTATTTAAAAAAATAGATCTGAAACACTATAATATTAATTTATATTTCAAAATAATTTTTATGAAATTATGGAAATAATATAAAATATTTAATTAAAATCGGTAGTAAATTTTCGAAAACATTATAGAGAAAAAAGCTAGATAGGTTTTATATTATTCTTTTTTCTTCTATTTTTACTATAGAATTAAATTTTTCTTATCCAGTGTTATCGAAATAATTTAAATTAGAAGCGAGTTTGGTTTTTATTATTCATTTCATGATTTATTTTTATGCTTGTTTTTACTTTTATATATATTTTTATTTTAATTTATATTTTTTTTTATTCAACAGTTATTACTATTATTACTGTTACCGTTATTTTTTTATTATTTCTATCACATGTCAGTTTTATTACTAATTATTATTTATTCCTATTTTTATTTATATTAAAACTTTATTTTTGTTTATCATTTCTAATAGTAGTCTGAATTTTATATTTATTTATTTTTTTCTATTTTTTTATTTTTATTATTAATTATTCTTTATTTATAATTATTAAAATAATTTATATTTATATTTATATTTATATTTATATTTATATTTATATTTATATTTATATTTATATTTATATTTATATTTATATTTATATTTATATGTATATTTATATTTTTATATTTATTTATAATTTTTTTATTTATTTTATATAAACATATATATATTATGAATATAATAAATTTAAAAAATTTTAACTCGAAGTTTACACCAAAAGCACATCAAAGAAAAGTTCGTAGGTGGGTGCAATATTCATCAAACAAAAAAAACACAATGCCATAATTACGCACGCCAGTGTAGGTTTGTATGCATTTTCTTAAACTTATATTTGTACATACATATGAATATTTAAAATTAGCAGCATCTTCTTGCACATGTTGTAAAATTGATTTAAATTTCTAAAAAACACCTACACATATTGTATTTATATACCTTCATATGTACATACATACGCATACATATATGTATGCACGTTGTAAAGTATATTTAAAGCATTTATGTAGAAATCTCTTAAACAGGCATACAGATGTGTACAGATATATGTACGTACAATAGTTCACTTTCCTTAATTATGTATGTATGTATGTATGTATGTATGCATATATAGACTTATGCTAATCGTATAAGAAGTTTCTTTGTTAGAAGCTTAATTTCAGTTCACTTTAGACAGTACAGCTTAAATTTAAATCGATTTCATACGAGTTTCTAGTATTTCAATTTAATATTTGCTAAAAGCTAAAACTTAACATCTAAACACACGCACGCACGCATATTCGCACATTTAAAACTAACTAAATCAGTCGTCTGACAGGCGATCGCACTATGAGAGCGGCTTGTCAAACATTTACTTAAATGTATATGTACCTACTTATATATATCGTATGTATGTATGTATGTTTGTATGTATAACATGAACACTTTATATACTTGTATATTTGTATGTAAGTATGTTTGTTTATTGCTCTATACATATAGATATATAGCTGCTTACTACCACAATTGTGTGTTTTTTTTCGCAAATTTAGTTACTAACTAAAACAACAACAACTACATGCATTTAGTAATTCACTTTGTGTTCTTTACTTAGGCTCTACATAGAAATATATGTGTATGACTTTAACATACTTCTATATTTGTATATGCGTTAGTTGTTTTTGCTTTTTGCTTTGTTTTTTTTTTTGCTTATTTGTTTTTTTTTTTGTTTTTCAGCTTAGTTATTGCTTTTCCTAACTTTAGTCCAATTCCAGATAATTGATCTCTTTGGTCAATGTTGCTTGTATCGCCTGCCGAGTCTCCTCCTGCGTTTGTGAATTTTCAATCAGCGCCGTTTGCTCGCTGGGCGGCAACAGCGGTTCAGCCGCTGCTGTTGTCGTCGTTGACGACGTTGCGTTGGATAGCGCGACAGGTGGCGTTGGTGTTGGTGTTGCTGTTGAGGCTGGCGGTGGTGGTGGCGTACTCATACTATTACCACTACTGCTATTATAATTGGGTGGCCCAATTTGCGTCTGTGTTGGTTGATTTGTATTATTTGGCATGACTGTGGTGGGAGTGAAGGTGGTTGTCGGTGTATTCGTTGTTAGTGTGTGTGTATTGCTATTTGAACCGGGCACGAAAACGCTGTAGAGAGAGGTAAAAAGAGGGAGAGAGAAGAGATCAAAAATATGGTTTATTATTAAAAGAAAAAAAAAAATCGTTATGGTATACAGTTAATTAATCATAATTACACAGCTCAAATACGTTTTTTCTCTGGCAATTTTAATGACATTTTTTTAAGCAATTTTTATAATGGAAAATTGTGTGTCAATGTCTCTTTGCTTTGGGATTACGGTTGACTGTTTAGAGTGAAAGCAGGATTTAAAGTTATTTATGTATTTAGCTAAGCCTAAGTAATGAGATTAAATATTTAAAATGTCAAATCTGTATAATTGTTAAAATTAAATTTAAAATAATCGGCTGTCATTTAGTGCTCTTTATTAGTTTATTTATTAATATATGACAAGTTATTTACATATCGTTTTTTATCACATTTAATTTGATAGTATTATATAATTTGCTTATATATTCTGCGCTTAATTATCAAAGTTATTCTAGTTGACTTTTTTGCAAATGTTAACGTTTTATTTTTCTACAATTTTTCATTTCACTATCATTATTTATTTCTTAATTTTATAATTAAACTGTATTTTGTTTTAGAGTTATTTAGTTTTTATGTTATGTTATTATTTTAATTTTTTAGTCCACATTGCTATTTTTTATTAAATTTTACTGGTATGTTATTATATCATTTAATAGAATATATTGTTATTTCTTTCTATATTTAATTTTTAATTTTGTTTTGGCTTTACTTTTATTTTATTTTTATTTTTAACTAACCCGAATTATTCTAAGTTTATTCGAAATTGTTTTACTTCACCTAATTAATTTAGTTGCTTTTCTTTGACTAAAGTAAATATATAAACTTTAAATTCAATTTTTTTAGATTTTATTTTATTTCATCGAAGTTCTTTTCATTTCATTTAACTTAATTTCAGAGTGCATTATTTTAATGTATTTCATTTTATGGTATTTCATTCTATTTTATTTTATTTTATTTTATTTTATTTTATTTTATTTTATTTTATTTTATTTTATTTTATTTTATTTTATTTTATTTTATTTTATTTTATTATATTTAATTTTTTTTTTATTTCACTTCATTTAATTTTATATTATATTATTTTCTTATATTAATATTTGATATTATTTTACTTAATTTTATTTTTTTTGTTTTGTTGTACTTAATATAAATTTATTTAATTTGCTTATGTTGCTGTATTCCATATTGTATTATTTACCTCAATATTATTTTATGTTGTTTTAGTTTATTGTGTTTTATTAACTTTTTCTGTTTTAAAGTATTTCATTTAGTTTTTAATTAATGCATTTTTTTTATTTTCTTATTTTTATATATTCGCGTTATTAAAAAAAGAACATTTTCCCAGCTCATTGGCCTGCAGTTGAGTCTTGGCTCGCGCAGTTTTTATTAAAGTCGAACCACTCTTCATACATACCTTAAAGAGTTCGTGGAACGATACAGTGGCGGGGGCGTATTCACACGTATACCGCTGTAGACAGCACCATTGATTAAACTGCAAAAAAGGAAGCATAATTCAAGGCGTTAAAATGTAATCAAGTTGAAAGTCACTTTCATGAAATATTCTTTTATTTATATTTTTATATATATTCTCTTCTTCCCTACTCACCCAATTGCCGCACATTCGTGCAGTGACGTCAAATATGATGGCGGTGGCGGACGATGTTGAAACTCGGGATACAAATAACCACCGGGCAGTATACGATTATTACAATAGGGACTATTGCAATTGCGGCAAGTCTCCATCAGTCGATAGCAGGGACACTCATCCGTATCCAACGGTGTACATAAGCGCCAAATAATGCCACCAACAATAAGCAATGACAAACCAATACCGATCATCAGCAGTGAAGCGCTCAAATATTGTGTGGTATGCTCGATGAGGCCCGTCGCACCGAGCACCACGCCACCCAACGTACACGCGGCGCCGCCAAGCGCAAATATGCCGATAATAAAGGGCACCATCGGCCGCGAGAGGCATTTGCGGAAGGTCGAGGTGACGGCGGTGGCAGCACCACCAACCAGTGTAGTTGCACCGTTCGCCACCGGCCCAGAGTCCCCATCCGCTTCCGCTGCTCCACCAACCGGTGGCCCAATAATAACGCCAAGCTGATTGTCACCAACAATAGTTGTGGCGCGGGTGGGTCCGTCAATGAAGCGCCGATAAATAGGAAGAGTTGAACTGTTGATATTAAAAGAAAAAGAAAAATAAAATAAATTATTATTTATGACTCTGCTGCTTGCTAGCATGTTATTTTTTATCAATATACTCGTATATACATATAAATTTTTTTCTCTACATACACATATAAGTAAGTGTAGGTGTATGCGTGCGTTTATTATATTATATTGTATTGTTGGCGAGTAAAGAAAAAAAAAAACTTTTTATCGGTTGACAGCGGGCCACTTTTGAAATGCTGATGATAAAAAGTGCATAAATAATAAAATAAAATGGTAGTTTTTCTCTGAGCCACTACCTGTGCATATTGCAGCTGTCGACCTCACACTGTATCGCAGTTAATGCATAGTGCCGAGAGAAAGAAATAAGGAAAAATGACATAAGCGAATATTAAAAAAAAAAAATCTTAAACCATCATCCCTACACCAGATTCATCTGCTGATATCAGTCTTTGTTTGTTGCTACCCAGCAACGACGGCATATTGCATGTTGCATGCCACTGACAGGCGTTACCGTCGTTATTGCGCAGGTAGAAAGAACTGTTGCGTCACACAAAGTCATTAGACGATTGGAAATCCGCACACAGGCTTACAGACTTGACAAAGAAACAAACAAACAAACAAACCTAAAAGTAGAAAATCTTTGCTTGAATTAATGTGTCTGCTGCATACACACACCCACACACTCATACATACACTAACAAATATTTCTACAAATATTTATGCAGCAGAGTTAAGAACTAAAGAGAAAAGTGCCTAACAGTGCAACCCACTGAGGAGTGTTTTCTCAAATTCACTGCTCCATTGTCTCTCCATTGCATGGGATCATATGCAGGTAGGACGAGCAGCTATCGGGTCACAGGACTCTTCTTCTTGCCGACATTCAAGTTTGTCCTTTTACTCAGTGTCAGCTAGCCGGCTGTGCGTTCGATCCTTATATGTATTTTAGTTGTTGTTATGTCTAATTTTGTTGCGTTGCCTACCGCTTTTCCTTCTACATTTTTTATATTTTTTTTTCTCAATTTTTCTTTTGTTCACTCTTATTGACATGCAACACCTGCCTAAAACTGCCAATGATGCTTAAGCATCTATGAAACATGTTGAAAATTTATTTTTACACTTACACATACAAATGAATGTCTATAGACAAATATATTTATGCAACTTTGTGTGTGTGTGTGTGTTTGTGTCATGTATATATATATGTCTGCCTGTCAGCCACTCATTTGGCTATAATTTATGCTGAGTAAATGGGCAGCTGCTTGCTTCTCGCCTTCTTTTGTATTACCAAAATTTATTTTTCGTTGTTTTTTTTTCTCGAACACAACGAATTTCTATAGTCTTTAGAAGAAAAAGTAAGCAACTGCAGACAATTTATTAGAATTGATTTCTTCTTATATTTTTAGGTATTTTTTTTTAGTTTATTCTTTTTTATTTTTATTTTTTTTTTTGTTTGCCTTTGCCTTTGGGTTGGTCAGTGTGTCTATATTGCAAGATTTATGTATATCCTTTTATTTATGTCTTTCAAATGAAAATTGTTGCAAGTTTTGCTTGGCAGGTATTTAAGTATCCTGCGCTCAGATGAGTGAGAAAATATAAGAGGAAAGGATAATCAATTGGCAGGTTTGTAGTGTGTTTGACAAGAAAATTCTAAGAATTTATGCATAGCGTGGCAGTTCTTTACATTTAGTGTTTCCCAAATTGAATTAGATGCCTGAGGGTAGGTAAACATATAAATCCTCGTATGTATGTATACATTTATGGGTACCAATTTGTATATTTGACTGAATTATTTGACTGAATTAAATTTTATATTTTGTTTTATTTCACAATCATTCCGTCTGTTGATCTGTTTGTCTCTTTTTACGAGAATTAGCCCCGCAGTTTTTGAGATGTTTAAACCATGGCCAGACTGGCCACGTAACACATTGGTTCAGATATGAGGTTTGGGGTCAAAACCTGTCAATTTTATATTCTACACATATATAAAGTTTTGTTTACTTTGATGCTATTTAAATATTTTAGTTTATTTTCGATCAGTTCATTTTGCTTAACTTTTTTATTTAATCTAATTGTTTTCGCATTTTTTTGTATATTAAATTTTTAATTTTTTTTATACTATTTTATTTATTTAAAATTAATTTTATTGTTGTTATTTAACATTTTGGTTCTTTAATTTATTTTTATTTATTAAATTTTATTTTCTTTTTTTTGTTTGTTTTATTTTTTTATTCCATTTCGTTTTATTTTTTATTAAATAGAAAATTTATTTATTTATTTTAGATTATTTTATTTGACCTTATTTGATTTTAATTTATTTTGCTCATTTTTTTTTTAATTTTTATAAGCACCTAATTTTTATTATTTGATTTTAACTTTTAGTATTTTATTTTTATTTACAGTATTTTATATTAGTTTCATTTTTTTAATATTTATTAAATTTAATTTTTATTCAATCCTTTTCTATGATATTTTATTTTACTTTGATATATTTTTTTTATACTTTAGTTTATTTTATTTTACTTTATTTATTTTTATGTTTTATTTTATTGTCTTTTGCATTAAATGTATAGAGACTTCGGCTTATTATTTTTTTTACTTACTTATTTTAAAATGTTTTATTTGACCTTATTTAATTTTTTTTATATTTTTATATTTCTTTCTTAAGCAATTGATTTAAATTCAATTTTTTAAATATTTATTTTATTTTATTTATTTTTTTATTTATTATATTCTGTTTTATTTTACTCTGGTAAATTTTATTTTTTATATTTGGTTTTATACTATTCAATTTTTCTTTTATAATTATGTAACTACTGAAGCGATTTTCCGCCGATTTTCTATTTTTTGTTATTTAACTTTATTTATTTTTATATTTTAATTTATTTTCTTTTGCATTAAATGTGTAGTTAGACGTATTATATTTTGTTTTATTTTACTTTGATATATTTTATTTTTTTATATTTTTTATTATCTCGTTTTATTTTCCTTTATAGTGTTTTATTTATCTCATTTTATGTTTTTATATTTTTTTCTCAGTTTCCGCAAATTTTAGTTTATATAATTTAATTTATATTAATTTAGTTTATTTTTTTTTTGTATTTAATTTAATTTAAATGTATATTTTTCATAATATTATATTATTTAATTTAATTTATTATATATTACTTATTTTCGTTTAATTTAATTTTAATCCCATTTATTAAATTTTTTATTTTCTCTATTTAATTTTAATTAGATGAAATTTATTACTTATTGATTTGTTTTTTTTTTATGGATTTGTTTAATTTCTGCATGTTTTCCATTAAGTGCATTTTTATTAATTATTGTTCAAAACTCCTATTTTATATTCATACGAATTTGTTTAAACTAATTTATTAATTTAAGTCATTTATTTTATTTTAAATGAATTTATTGAAACTTTCTTAATTTAATTTCATTTGAATAATTTATTAATTAATAATGTGAATTAGTTATTTTAAATGAATTAATTGAAACTTTCTTAATATGATTTTATTTGAATAATTTATTAATTTATATTAGTCAATATTTTAAATAATTTATTGAAAAATTTTCTTAATTTAAATTTATTTGAATAATTTATTATTTAATATCATTTAATATTTTAAATAAATTTATTGAGAAATTTCCCAATTCAATTTAATTTGAATACCTTTTAAAGTTAATTAATTTTTTATATTAATTTATTTGATTTCATCATTTTTTTTAACGGATTTGAAATTTTGTTTTATTTAATTTTCTTTCTCATTTTACTTTTCAGCTTTTCCTCCTTATTTATTCATATTTTTATTTATATTTCTTTTAATTTTTTTTATTTATATTTTATTTTGATTTTCCACTTTAATATACCGTTTTCTAAACTGATTTTTTTCATTAAAATTGCTTGTCATTCATGTGCAAGTCATATAACATATAGATTAAAATATTTCATTAATTTGTTTGAAAAAAAATTTTGCTTGATATTTCTAACAAAACTTCCTCAAATGGGACGCGCAACGTAATGCTTAATTAATATTAAAATAAATACGTATAGCAAAATAAATAAGGTGTACATGTATATATTATATATTACAAGTCAAATTGTTTTTCAAACACCAAAATCAATGCATTCAGTTTCGTGTTGGCAAAAAAATACGCGCTTTTTAATTAGAACTATTAAATTAAACCATCAAACTGTATCAAATGCATTTTTCTCTCTAACAATTTTTTAAAAGCATGCTCGCTAAGAAAAAATAAAAATAAATATGATAACGTAAAAACACTAGATAATAAATCAAATATTTGAAAAAATATTCATTCAATTTTAAAGTTTTTACAACGAATACAAATAAACTGCATAAAGTTGTCGATTTTCAAAAAATAGAACAAACATCGATAGCAGCATCACTGCGTGTTGAATTGCGAAATAGAGTAAAAATATGCGAATCGAAAATTTATCGCAGCAAATCAAATAAATAAATGTGTACTCTAGCATGCGATAAAAATGATAAAAGTCGAAGAAATCAACTAAAAAAGGCAACCAAGCAAAAAAAAAAAAAAACAAAATTTAACACACATGTGTTAGAAGAGAAATTTTTACAACAAATTTTACATATGTACATATTATATGTATAGTGTGCAAGTTTGGGCGACTGCATGCATGGTTATATGCATACATATTTATTAAAATATAAATTATGATGCGTGTAAAAATTTGAAGAACAGCAAAACCATGCTGCCAAATTTTCTGGCACATCTCGCGCTTTTGTAAACAAAAAGCAAAATAAATAAAAACAAATTTATACCGAACAAAAAAGTAAAGAATAAAAATAAACGGTCGTATGAAATATAGCTGCTGCTGATTTCGATTATATTTTCGTGATCATATTTGAAATGCTGTTTGTTGTGTTACTGTCAAATATTGTTGTTGTTGTTATTATTGCCGTTGTCATTGCACCGCTCACGCGTGATGATTAAATGCAGTTGTTAGAAATACACATTTTA